CAGGCGGGGACTGAACCTCCCAACTGCTCCTTTTTTACTTTTTTTTTTTTATTCTGGGCTAGCTTTAGCTTGAGGCTTGGCTCCAGCTCTTAGGCCCCCGCTGCTGAAAGTAGGTTTCTGGCCTTTGCATACAATGTTGCGATCCTGCTGGCTGAAGTCTGGAGGGATTTATTACAATGTTTCTTAAACTGCAGGCTCAGAGGCCTGCAGCCGCAGGCGGGGAACGTTGGACTCCTCCGTCACTGAAGCAAGCAAGCCTCATGTTAGTTTCAAGCTGCCTGGCTGCTGGCCGCCATCTTGGCTGTCAGTTAATTTGCATATCTCGCTGATTAGCCAATGGGAAGGGTAGTGGTCGTACGCCAATTACCTTGTTTCTCTTTAATTAGTGTGGATGAGAATCTACTCTGTGATAGCTACTAGATGATGTGCAAGGAAAGGACTGTGGGTTTCCAAGTGGTCTGAGTAGGAATAATGAAGGTGAGAGAATGAGAAGGTTAAATAGGAACATGCAGTAATAGCCTACAACCTGCAACAGACAGTTAAAATAATGTATGTTTGTCCCCCTTCCTGTCCATGTCCATATCCCAGTTACACCCCTGGGCAAGTCTGGAATTTAAGGAATATTTCTTAATTATGTGTTTTCATTTGAGATTGGAATGAGACTTTCGTGTATAGGCATTATGTTTATAAGCAAGCAGCTTTATTCAAGACATTTTATAAGGGAAGCATGTAGAGACTTTATTTTAGTTGAGGCAAAGAAATGGAGGCAACTATTTTTTTTTAAATATGTATTTTATTGGTTTTTTATAGAGAGGAAGGGAGAGGGATAGAGAGCCAGAAACATTGATGAGAGAGAAACATTGATCAGTTGCCTCCTGCAGTCCCCACTGGGGATGCGCCTGCAACCAAGATACATGCCCTTGACCGGAATTGAACCTGGGACCCTTTAGGCCACAGGCTGACGCTCTATCCACTGAGCCAAACCAGTTAGGGCGAGGCAACTATTTTTTAACATGTTGAGGATGCAGAGGCTTGATGGTAAAATAAAGGTTCCAGAGCATAAGGGAAAAGGTTGGGAGAATGGGCATCAGTAGGGTACATAAGAGTCACATGTGAGTTTTAGGATCAAAATTCCTCCACTTCCTGATAGTGAATATGTGGTGAGAGGTGGCCTCTAAAGGTCTCCTTACGGTTTGGAAATACCTGTTTTCTTAAAACATCTGAATTCTCTCTTGAGTATACTGTATTGTGAACCTTTAAGAATATCTTGATCCTGAAGAAGTATTTCCATTTGTGACCTTAAATTAGAATTCTCTATATCATTTTACTGAGAGAGCATCATGTTGGCAAGGTATCCTATCCAATAAAGAGGGGATATGCTAATTGACTCTCCTGCTGTCGCAAAGATGACGGCTCCCACAGCCAATAAGGAGGGAATGTGCCAATTGACTGTCCTGCTCTCAGAGATGGCAGCACCCACAGCCAATAAGGAGGGAATATGCTGATTGCATGCCATGCCCTCAAAGATGGTAGTGCCCACAGCCACAAGATGGCTGGCAGGGGAGGACAGTTGTGGGCGATCAGGCCAACAGGGGAGGGCAGTTGTGGGGAACCAAGCCTGCAGCAGAGGGCAGTTGGGGTGGCCGGGCTGGCCGGGGAGGGCAGTTGGGGGCGATTGGGTTGGCAGGGGAGCAGTTAGGCATCGATCAGGCCAGCAGGGGAACAGTTAGGGGGTGATCAAGCTGGCAGGCAGAAGTGGTTAGGGGAAATCAGGCAGGCAGGCAGGCAAGCGGTTGGAGCCAGCAGTCCCGGATTGTGAGGGATGTCCAGATGCTGGTTTAGGCCTGATCCTATGGCAGTCAGATATCCCCCGAGGGGTCCGAGATTGGAGAGGGTGCAGGCTGGGCTGTGGGACACACACACACACACACACACACACTGCATGAACTTCGTGCACCGGGCCTCTAGTTCTCTTATGACCTCGTAGTGTTTGAGGGATCAGCATTAACACTGTTTAATCTCTTCATCAGTGACCATTATATTGGTAATTTCAAGGATTTCAAGATGTTTTAGGTACTGCTCTATATTTTAGTAATGATTGATTCATCTAATAGTCTTTGTATACCACTGTTATATTTCAGTTAGTAGCAATGCTATTGTGTTTGTTTCCTAGAGCTGTCATAATAAATTACCATAACCTGGGTCACTTAAAATGGAAATGTCTCACCATTCTCGAGACCAGAAGTTCCAAATCAATCTGTCAGAATTGATTCCTTCTGGAAGCTCTGATGGAGAATCCATTCCTTGCTTCTTCTGAGCTTTTGATGGCTGCTGACAAGCTTTTTATTTCTTAGTTTGTGGCAGCATAACCTCAGTCTCTGCTTCATCTTCATATGGTCTTCCCCTCTGTGTGTCTGTGTCTTAAATCTCCCCCTCCAAAGACATCAGTTATTTGACTTAGGAACCCCTCTAAATCCAGAATAATCTCATCTTTAAATCCTTAACTTACTTCTACAAAGACCATATTTCCAAATAAGGTCACATTCATTCAGGTACCAGGAATTAAGACTTAAATATACCTTTTTAGGGGTCACTATTTAACCTATTATGATTATCTAATACTTTTTCATATGGTTAGGATAGAGTGATCCTAGCCATTTCTTTTTACAGATTGGTTTTTAGTATTGTGAAACTATTTTCCTTGGTGAATATTTCCTAATTACGTGTTTTCATTTGAAATTTGAATGAGACTTTCCTGTATAGCTATTATGTTCATAAACCCTTATTTTTTTTAGCAAACAGGAAGGAAAATAAACTTTTTTTTCTCATTCATATGTTAGGTTACAGATGTTTACTATATCAGAAATTATTGTAGGAGTGAATCTTTAGTGTCTTTAGGTTGTTTCTGGGTAGAACAATTTTTCAGGAAATTTCTTTAATATACTATCACCACAGCTATTTGCTATATGATTAAATTAATTTTCAGGCTCCTCAAAAGGAATATTTATTTATACCTCAGTTATAGTATAGTGCTCAATTTTTCTATGTTATGCCCCTATTCTTTTTTGTTTTTTTTCTAGAAATGCTGTGTTTGCAAGAAAAGTGGTGCTTCAATTGGATGTGTTGCACCTCGATGTAAACGAAGTTATCATTTCCCGTGTGGACTTCAGAGAGAATGTATTTTCCAGTTCACTGGCAATTTTGCGTGAGTTGTTAACTGTTGAACATGAAAGATGATGGTTAAAAAAAAGTCAGTAATGGATATGGATATTCCAATTATATAATTACTTTGTTAAATTTTTTTCAAAGCTGCACTGCATTTATACAGTGTGTGGATGTGTATGTATGTGTGTGTGTGTATATATATACATATACATATATATACATGTTGATTTGAGAGAGAGAGAGAGACAGAGAGAGTATAAAAGAGAGAGAGAGAGAGAAGAGAAAATGTATATGCAGTCATTTCTGTCTGCAAAGTCTTAAGAATAACCATATCTGAAATGGGCTTATTTACCTTTAGCTTTCAGCTCTAGAGTATAATATCGAACTGTTAATGTGTATTCATAGTCAGTGAAAATTTTTACCTTATATAATTCTAGATTTTTATATCACTCTTTAGATTTATCAGTAATAGTCCAGTTTTCTTTCATGGAGCCATATTTACTTCTAGTGTAAATTGAAGGTATATAAATTTGGAATCCAAAAGGTAAATATTATTCCCCTGGATGCTCCTGAAAGTACTGGTTCTTGAATCTAGCTATAAACATGGAATTTTTATAAATTTTGACATTAGGTATCATGAGTGTTTTATTTGTTTTAGTCCTTGTGTTCTTGACCAATTTAATGATTTTTTCCTATGTAAAAAAGCTGCAGTTTAGATAATACAAATGGAAATAAATTTAGTGGCTTAGGAATAAGTTACTATTTTCATTTTATCTGTTATATGATTAAATATTTAAATGTTAAGTTCCTTTAATTTTGTGCAGTTTTTAATGCAATGATGTGTGTATTCTGTCGCTAACAATCTTACATAGGATTCTCAACATAATATTAGTTGCTGAGATTCTGTGAGGGAAGGCTTACCACCAAAAGGTTCACATTTTGAAAGTTCAGTTAAACATGCTCATAGATTATGAAACTGACTTATAATGCCAAAGTTCCAGTCTGTTGTAGGTTAGTTATGAGAGAGAGAGAAATGAAGTTTCTTTTATAAATGTGAATTGTAATGCTATCCTAATTGTGCTTTGTAATTTATTAGATGTTGGTTTTAAATAATTTAGGTCATTTTGTTGGAACCATCGACCTGTTCAAATAATTACACCTAATAATTATAGAGAATCCTTACCATGCACCATTTGCTTGGAATTTATTGAGCCTATTCCAACTTATAGCATATTACGAAGTCCTTGTTGTAAGAATGCTTGGTTTCATAGAGACTGTTTACAGGTAAGATGTTTTGTAAGCTTTTTCTGATATAAAATTTGTTGCTTGCTGCTAAAATTTAAAATTGGAAAGAATTAACATGGGTGTTTTAGCCCATACTACTTGTAACTTTTTAAAACATCTCTATTAAAATATCTTCTTGACAAAAATGCCAACTCCATCTTTAATATCAAGGAAATCTGATTGTCCATATGGTACCATAGATCTGTTAATATGTAACATGTTATTCAGTAGCCTGCTGTATAAAATTGTTCATAAGCCATATTTTAATGGCTTAAAAAAATGCTTAATGTGCTCCATTTGCAGTATAACTTCTAATATAACTTGCAGTATAACTTTCTGCTATGTGGTAGGATTTTGTAAGAGGTGATGAGAGGCAAAGGACATTAGAATAGCAAAAATGGCCCAACCGGCATGGCTCAGTGGTGGAGCGTCTGCCTATGAACCAGGAGGTCGCAGTTCGATTCCAGGTTGGGGCTTGGTCCCTGGTGGGGGGCTTGTGGGAGGCAGCCAGTCAGTGATTCTCTGTCATCATTGGTATGTCTGTCTCTGAAATTAATAAAAAAATACATATATATTTTTTTAAAGTAGCAACAATGTTTTTATGAATTAACCTTTAGTAATGGCAATAAGATGTGAATAAAAGTAAACTATTGTTATCTAAAAAAATAAATAGAAACTTTATTGAAGCCTATTTTACATTAGGGTAAATTCACCCTAATGAATTGTACAATTAATATTTTAATACTTTAGATACGACTTTTTAATCCATATTTATCTAATGATTTTTATTTGTTTCACAATAAATAAAACATATTTATTGTCAAGTTATTTACATATTTAAGCTTAGAAAACCAAGATATGTAAAATGATTATGTAATTGTAAGCTAAGATATTTAAATGTTAGAGGCCTTTCCTATTGTATGTCAAACCTGATGACAAGTTTTCAAGTAAACAAAATAACATGAAATTTGACATTAAACAATTTAATATTATTTTACTCAGATGATGTTTACTCAGATGATCAGTTATTAGTAACATCAAAATGTAGTATTCATGTAGTAAAGTGCCAATTGATAGTTATAGTTCATAGAATGCCAAATAACAAAGGATTTACTTGCTTTTTAAACCTTGGGTTTTATTATTGTTTACTAAAATAAAAGGAGGTTACTACTGATTATAGATTATCCACAAATTTTTTTTTCCCTTTTAAGTTAAGAGATATTGCAAATCCTCTTATATATCAACTAGAGGCCTGGTGCATGAATTCGTGCATGGGTGGGGTCCCTTGGCCTGGCCGACGATTGGGGCTGATTGGGGCCTTCTCTCCCAGCCCCAATTGGGGTCCACTGGGGCTGGCCAGCCGGGAGGAGGGACCGCGGGATGTTGGCCGGCCACAGGTGGTTGACTGTGGGAGTGCACTGACCACCAGGGAGCAGACTCTCAATGCAGGAGCTGCCCCCAGCCTGCAGGCCCTGATTGCCCAATTGGGGACTGCCAGCCAACCTCTTGTTCCCTACCCGCAGCCGGTAGGCTCCAATCGCCTGATGAGGAACTGGGAACCGGGGTTGGGTGGTGGCAGACACAGGTGGTGCCAGTGCCCTAATCACTCTGCTGGTCGCCCCACACACAGAGGGCGGCGGGGGGTGGAGGGGGTGGCTGCTGGCAGCTGGGGCAGATCGGCCATGATCCCAGGCCAGGCCTGGGGACCCTCCCCTTGCACAGCTTTCGTGTGCCAGGCCTCTAGTGTGTTAATAATGAATCAGAGAGAGGTTCTCAAACTTGACCTAGTATTCACCAGGCTTTTTGTGAACACTCTGAAGATACCAAGTTTCTAATTCTGTCATTAAAATGTAGAAATAAGTCCTAGCTGGTTTGGCTCAGTGGATAGAGTGTCGGCCTGAGGACTAAGGGTCTGGGGTTTGATTCTGGTCAAGGTCATTTACCTCAATCCCTGTTCTGGAGGCAACCAAACGATATGTCTTTCCCCCATCCATGTGTCTTGCTCTCCCTTCTGCTCTCTCTGAAAATCAATGGAAAAATATCCTCAGGTGAGGATTAACAACAACCAAAAAAAGTAGAAATAATATTGCTAACAAAATTGTAGGTCTACTTTATGCAAATATAAAAATATAGCCACCTTGCCCTGGCTGGTGTTTAGTGGTTAGAGTGTCAGCAGCTGTGCACCAGAGGCTCTCAGGTTCGATTCTGGGTCAAGGGCATGTACCTGGGTTGCAGGTTTGATCCCCGGCCCTAGTTGAGGTTTGTGCTGGAGGCATCCAATCACTGTGTCTTTCTCACATTGATGTTGCTTTCTCACACGCCAACCCTCCCTTCCACTCTCTCTAAGAAAAAGAAAAAAGAAAAAAATCAATGGAAAAAGAAATACCCTCGGGTAAGGATTAAACAACAACAAAAATACAGCCACATGGATACCTGTCTATGATATAAGTATTAATAAGCAATTGTTACTTGACTGGAGTTCATTCATATTCTCTATAGGAGTTCCAGTGGCTTTTCCACCTTATTACTAGAATCTTAACTGAAATAATAAATGGAATCTGCCCTATCTAGATAGCTACAATAATACTTGAATAATTATTTTAAATATCTGAATTCATTAATATAAAAGAGTCAAAGGAAGAACAAACTTAATGCAATAGAATGCAAAATTTTGAAAAAAACCTATGCAAAAATTTCATTGTTTTTACCACTACAAATGCTATATTATAAATTGGGATTTTGTGAGGAGAGACTATAGGTTAATATAAAAGAAATTAATGGACCCCAGCCAGTGTTCCTAAGTGGTTAAGCATCGACTCATGCACCAAGAGGTTCTGGGTTCAATTCCCAGTCCCGGGTTGCAGGCTAGATCCCCAGTGGGGGCTATGCAGGAGGCAGCCAAGTAAATCAATGTTTCTGTCTTCTCCCTCTCACTTCCTCTCTGAAAAATAAAAACATCAATAAAAACATATTAAAATTAATGGAAACTTTTCACTCTGGCTATGTAGAGAATTGTCACTATTCTTGTTCATCTTGGATTTCTCCTTCATTGTTCTGGTCTCGGTATCTTCCATATGCCCTCTGGTGTTTTTTCCTCCATACTAGACACTTACTTTTTGTATCACATCCTATATTTAGTATGTATTACAATTGCTTGCAAACACTTTAGGTTTAGATTTCAGAAACTTGTTGCTTTCCTACCACGTGTGTGTGTGTGTGTGTGTGTGTGTTACTTGGTAGTAGTTTGAACCTGGGCTCCTATTTGTTAACTTCTTTCTTCACCATCCGAAAATCATTCCCGAACCCAAGTCTGCCAGGTCTGCCTAATAGATATTTTTGTGTATACTTTTTCATTGCTGTTCTCTCCCTCTATTTTAACTAGACTTTTGTAGGAGCTTACTGAGCTGGTCTTTCTCCTGCATGCCTTATTTCCTATAATTTCTTCACACTATCGGTTTTGATTTACCTGTTTAGCCTCCTTAGTTCACTATGGCCAGCCTGTCATCCTAAGTTCATTAATTAGTTTTCTAATCACATGTGCTTACTTGTTTTTATATATGCTTAATTTGATATGTGCTATTTTCTAGTTTTGTAATGTCTTTTGTCCCATTTTCCTGGCAGACTCCTGTGTCTTCTTCCAAAATTAGCTTTGACAGTTTTGTCAGGCTCTTATATAGACTGAGGTACTTCTTCCTCTCTCTTCCATGTATATACCTAAAAAAACTTGTACACTATATTAGAATTGTATACTGTATGCCTACTCATAAGTCATTTTATATTTCTGTTTTTGGTACATAGCATAGTGTTTGGTGCCTATATAGTAGGGATTAAATATTTGTTAATGAAGGAGTGCTATTAGTTTTGTAGTATTTTTTACTGGGTATTGGCTACTTTTTCTAGTAGAGTTACAGTTTTCTGTTTCCCTCTGAATACCCTCTGCCCGCTGCCTTTGTATTTGTAGTAACTGAAGAGTGAGAATAGGTTTTATACTTCTCCCCTCTTAGGAAGAAAACTAACAGAGTGAGTTAAAAATAGACCCAAGGATACTTTTTATGTAGCACTTATTTAAATATATTTCCTAGATGAAGTAACTCAAGATTTTTACTATTTTATTTATAGACATGGCCAACACAATATTTGGGAACAGAAATGATATTAGACACCAAAGGTTAAGAGGAATGTATGGGTGAATATATAGTAAAGCTAAGCACAGTCAATTCATTAGCTTAATTTTTTTGGCAATTGGGAAAAAGATCTCCAAATTTTAGCAGTGGGATAACTTAGTTTATCAAAGTTTGAGAACCATTAATGTACAAAATAAGATTTCATTATATATTGAGTGAAAAGTAGCACATGTTCTGTTAGTTATGAAGTTCATAACCTAATATATTGTTAAATTATTAAAGATTTTCTATTTTTACTACAGGTTCAAGCAATAAATGCAGGAGTGTTTTTCTTTAGGTGCACAGTATGCAATAATAGTGACATATTTCAGAAAGAGATGTTGAGAATGGGAATTCATATTCCTGAAAAGTGAGTACCACATTTGACAAAAGATATTTTATAAATAGGATTTAATAACAGTGAAAATAGTCATTTATGTCTGATTATGTAATGATGGAGAAGCAGCCACTTCAGATGGGGAAATGTAAAGCAGCCCCTGCCACCTCCTTTTTCTCCCCAGATTGCTAGTTCTTGAGAGCAGGGACTGTGACTTAAATTTTCATTAGTTGATTTATAGTCTCTGAATAAACACCTCAGTTGTATGTAATGTTAATTGATTTATACACAAGTATAGTAGGCTTTAAAATGGTATGTATAAATTAAGAGAATCAAGATGTGATTTAAAATGTCTAATAAGAATTTTATTAGTACTTAAAGATGAGGAATCCTGAAATAATGGTACTAAACTTGAAATAAATGGAAGTGAAATGTTAAAAATGTAAGTTAGAAAATTTCTGCTTAATTTTTCAGTTAGCATTTGAAAATTCACTGTGAGACTAAATGTAGGCTAAAATGACACTAAAGGATTTATATCTTGAAGAGAATGATTAATCTTAAAAAACAATTTTAGCCTCATTCCTGAATACTATTATGTGAAAAGTTTTTATTTTTAGGTTCATTACCAACCCTTTAATATGTAACATTTTAGGTCAAAGTATATTTTATGTCTTGCTTCATTTACAGAGATGCATCTTGGGAATTAGAAGAAAATGCTTATCAAGAGCTTCTGCAGCACTATGAGCATTGTGATGTACGAAGATGTCGTTGCAAGGAAGGGCGAGACTATAATGTGCCTAATAGGTATACCGGAAAGTTCACTTGTGCTTAATTTGTGGTTTTTTTTTTTTAAT